CAAACTTTACAGAGGGGAAGGAACATCAAAGTGAAAAAAGTCGAGAGGAGGGGGGGGGGAACAGAAGAGTGTTTCGGAGACAGATACAAAGGTAGAAAAAAGGTGAGGTGAGTACTGTGGAAGTAGTCGGATATGGCATATAGTTGGGGTTGGGGGGGGGGGGGGGGGTGGTATTTGAAGTCAGAAGTCAACTGCCGGTTAATAGACTTTTTGCCGTATGAGTATACGTTGCCCAGGGTGCACCACGAGGAGGTAAGTCTATCGCACACCCCGGTATTCCAAGATAAGTTCTGCACAATTTTTAACGTAACAAGCATAAATGGTCAAAGTGCTTCCATCCCAAGTCAGATAAAATTTACCTTTCACATGAAGAAGGTTTGTTGGCCACAAATACGCAGTTTAAGTACTGAGGTGATCAACTCAAAATCAACCTTTCAAGTTGATCAACAGAGTGGCTAATTCTTTCAAAGTAAATCTAATTGGACGCTCAGCTTATTTTCACTCATATTTACCTTGGCCACAAATTGCTAGCCTTTGTAAGCCATTATCTTGGCTTAATTATCCCTTACTATGGTGGGAATTATAGCTTTTCATACCCAGTCAAGTTGATTTATCTAAAAAGAGATAATTGACCGGCAGTAGTACTTCTTCTCCCACCCTCTCCCACCCCACCCTCTTTGCTCAATACGTACCTGCAATCGATTATTGGGTTGTACTCGCATTGCTCCGTAAAAACCCAGTCTGTCTTGGGCAGGGCGCTTCCTACACCCTCAGCCCATGCAACCATACATTGTTGCCCTGTCAGCTTCAATTGTGATTTTTATTCGCATGCTTTTAGTCACAGCCAATTTTTTTCGGTTGCATTTTTTTCGAAAATGAGGACTATCGTCTTGAAAAATTCTTAGAAGATTTACCCAATGATAACGGAGTCTCTTTTTCTTTCTATTAACCCTAATCATTGCCAGAAATTAAAGCTATTTCTTTCGTAACTAACCAGAAGGCTCTAGAGAGAGAATTTCGTGGTTTTGTGGTAACCTAACGGCTTAGACGGCTGAAATACACAAGGGGAAGTTCACCATACTCACCTCGTCCTGTCTCAAGAGTTTATTATATCCAGACACTGGGGCTTGGGTGTCATACTTTCGTGTGTGGTAAATCGCCACAACAAGCCTAGATAAAGTCAATCCCAATTTGTCGCTGGTGAGCGATAGACTTACCCCCCCTTGGTGCACCCTGGACAAACGTATACTCATTTGGCAAAAGGGCCTATAAACCGGCAGTTGACTTCTCACTTCAGATTACCATGACCCCACTGTATGTTATGCTCCACCACTTCTACAGTACTCACCTTACCTTCTTCTTTACCTTTGTGTCTGTCTCTTTTGCATCTATGATTCACATCTCTGTTCCCCCACCCCTCTCGACTTTTGCGACTTTGATGTTCCTCCCCTCTGTGAAGCCCGAAGTTAACTAAAGGGCTAATGATACTCACCATAAAGCTTGCCATTTAAGACAAATCTTCTTGATGAAAGCTGTGTCAATCCCAATGTGTCAGTTTAATAAACGCAAAAGCAGAACTGTGTTTGAGGAAGGCGGCCTTAACTTAAGTTCATCTTGGATAAGAATTGCTCATTTATTTTATGTAGCATTTGCAACTATAGTATCTACCAAAGTGAACACCTGCAAAACCTGAGGTCACCTCAACCACACCGTCGGTGTGCGTCAAGTAATTGGAGTGACCGACAAAGCCGGCAACAACCAATGGGGTGGAAAGTTAAAGTTAATGAGCTATAAGCAGTACACGAAATGGAGAAAAAATCAAAAAGCAATAATGAGTGGCCTCCAGGGCTGCTGGTAAAACAACTATTCACAGTGTCCTCTATTCATTTGCATGACTTTTTAGAAATTGTCTAGGAAACAATTTTTTAATGTATTTATTTCAAATGGCAGGCGTTTTGATAGCTATCAATAGCCCTTCAGCTGACTTCAGGCTTCACAGAGGGAAGGAACATCAAAGTGAGAAAAATTTGAGAGGGGGGGGGGACAGAAGTGTGTTTCAAAGATGTAAAAGAGACAGACACAAAGGTAGAAAAAGGTGAGGTGAGTACTGTGAAAATAGTCGAATATGACATACAGTGGGGTGATGATAGTTTGAAGTGATAAGTCAACTGCCAGTTAATAGACTTTTTTCCGTATGAGTATACGTTGCCTAGAGTGCACCACGTGGAGGTAAGTCTATCACACACCCCATTTTTTAATGTAAATCAAGGCTTATTGAAGTCTATTGTATAGGACGGTATTTTGATGTTTTTTTTCATAATTATTAGTGCGTTAATTTAAACCACTTGTAAGGAAAAATAATCACCGACTTGCTCTATGCAATGCTTGAAAGGCGGCAAAAACACTTGTCGTCAGATTAGCAATCCGTTCTAATTTATTTAGTAAAATAGAGTAACACGCTCTCTGTTTATTGGCTAACTTGTCATTAAATCGTGCAGCCGATATGATTAAACACTTGGTAGAATTCTGAGTGGCGATATACTTGATATCGTAGCTCACAATTGCACGTGAGGCAAGTAAGTGAATACGTTGAATTCGAAATTATCCATAGCAATTGCAATACTTTCATTTCTCATCTATATCCATCAAAATAGAGCTAATTCCAGAACACGAATCCTCAATTTTGCAGTTCCATTCAGGCAGGGGAGCATAAATGTAGAAACGCATAAACAATAGTTCAAATGACGTAACTTGCAACAGTATTAGTATCTTAAAAGGATTCAGACCGATCTTAGAGAATATTTTACAAATTAAAGATCGACATTTTTTAGCACATGCCTATTCGTATTGCTTGAATCTGCTTAAGAAAAGTGGTAGAATGGTAATTTTAATTCATAATTCGTGATTATAAATGAAATTCCAATGCAATTCATTACATTAAAGAAAGTGAAAATATGGATCACTTTGGACTTTCTGTAGCTACTGCTCGAACTTGTATCGGATTGCTACATGAATAATCCTTGACGTATTCACAGTGATCTTTATGGCAGAAATCCTAGTATGGAAAGGCTACCGAAATGCTATAGAAGAAGCAGACGTTTATTTAAATTATGCTCACACTAAACAAAAGTAGCAAGTGAATGGATTTAACGTAACTTGAGTTGGATTCAGCACGCATGACCTCACCTTCCCGACTGTTCGAGTGTGTATGAGATTGCTTGAGTTAATTGTGTTAGGATCGTGTCCTTTACAAATTACAGCCGAAATCTGCTAAGATGTCGGTTGGAAATGTATTAGAAAAGAAATCTGAACGCGGACTTTCAAAAGGTGAAAAATTAATGGAAGAAATGGGGCAATGCACTGGCTTGGAGTTTCAAACGTGGATAGATTTGAAATCGATAATCACTCAAACAAACACAATAAATAGTTTAAGTAATTTTTACGAAATTGGGTTAATTGTCAAAGATAAATTGATCATGTGGGAAACAGAGACGAAATTAAGCAGGCGAGGTGTGATTCACTACAATTCACTATAGCTCCTACCAAAAGTAGCGTGCAAGTCGAATAAAGGAAATGCATAAACCATATCGTATAGTGCATTGCTTTTCTTAACATTTTCTACGTGGAAATGTTCTTTTAAAAGACATCGTGTAGGCTTCGTGACATTGGCTGCGTTAATTTACTCAAAAGTAACGGGGATTTTCACCTCTAACTCATCTATATAACATCATACGCCAGTGTTGGAATAATCGTACTACTTATAAATTATAAATAGGTCATTTCATTTCTGAATTGCATTTTCATTTTATAGAAGAACCAAATAAAGCATGATTTTTATTGAAAAGTACTGGATAAAGGAGTCTCTCTAGTGGTTATACTGCGATGTCACGGGTAAATAGTGGCCCATTTTCTAATTTCACAGAGTTTGGAACTTTATAAGGTTATATTTTATGCTTAAGGTGGATTGCACCACCTGTTGGAAATAAATACTCAATTCAGGACTCATTTTATAATAAGAAGGGACTGGAACAGAGAAGGTGATGGTGAGATTGATACGAGAAACTCCATTTTCTAGTTTGTCAACAGGAAATGCATTTGTGGGACGCGTCATCGTATGCCTGCACGCCAGGATTGGTAGGTGCGACCGTACAAACAGTGACCAATCATCAACCTCTGTTTAACCTAATCCCCCATCCTGATCATGAGTAGCTCCCTGCGTGTACACGCTTTGTCCGTAATATACGTCCTGAATAAACGTGCTCCGTGCTACACGTCTGTTTCCTTTATAGCTGGGCTATAGCTTAGCTGGTTCTGGGAGTCTAGCTAGATGTAAGAGAATCTGCCATGGAGATTTCTGAGTCAGTCAGGCTTTACTAAGGTAGCAATCCGCTACAAATTCCAAAAGCCCTCACCACCATCCTCATCTTTCTAGAAACTGAGCGCGAGTTACTAAGACGTAAATGGTATTTCGATTTTAGGTCAGGATGTCTATTTTGGTCCCCCTGCTGGTCGAGAGGCTTCTGAGAGTGATACCTAATTAGAGTAACAACTACTTGATGAAAGGAACTAGGGCGAAGGTGATTATGACCAATTGCCTGAAACCGAATTATATTCCTTTGCCTTATTGATATTTCTGCGCGATTAAGGTAATAAGCCCATTTTGTGAACTAATCCGTGGTAGTAAGCCAACAATACCGAATTGTTAAATTGCCCTATTCACCCTTCGAAAATATGGCAGTTCTGTCTTCTTTCCGTTTTTGGTGGATCAATAAATGAGTATTCATTTTCAGATGTTAAAATTTCTAATTTGTGAAAATGTTCTTGTGTTTAATTCATCTAGGTCTTTTCAAACATTTTGGTAAAAAGTTATTTTTTCTATTATTTTGTCTGCCTTTAAACTTAAAGAAATCATTTTAAGTACATTTAAAACAAAGGAACTGTAAACCATGGAGCATTTTGTAATTGTATTTGAGTCTTTTAGCAGTTTAAAGTACTTATTTATGGATTTCCGTGGTCATTGCTTCTCTACCGTTACTATGCGGTATTGCAGATCTTGGATTCGATTCTGGCGGACTTACATCCTGTTGATTATTAAACAAAGGGCCAATCGAGTGTACCTCTTTCAGTCAAAAGGTATAAGGAATAATCGCTGCATTAAACATATTTTTAAAACATTATTTATTTTAAGCAATAAACCGAATTTGTAATTTAACCTTAGGTATGAAAATTTAAATCCACTTGGTTTGTTGCTGCATGAAACCAATGAATTTATTCCCGAATTCGGCAGGGTTCGTGTAACCCGACGTCTTCTACGATGGCTCCTACTCTTTGAATGGTATTTGGCAACACTTGACTGCAGACAAGTTATCAAGGATCCTCAATGTACCCAAGTTCGGCCAGTTGACCAACGCATGAAAGGATTCAAGGATGGTATCAGCTGTCCCGTGGCTTTCTCTGCTGTTACAAAGGAAGTGAACAGTCACTGGAATGAATGTGGAAAGAGTACGTGGCCGAAATGCACGCGACGTGTTCTAAGCATTACCTGGTTGATTCTTTCTAGATGACGAACTAGGCCATAACTCCAATGCTTGTATTAACTTATCTAAGGAATACAGAGCTGCCCTTATAGGGCAGTGCGAACGCATATTTCAACGAAAAATTACTTTCTGGAGTCGGGTGTGCGATAGACTTACCTCCACGTGGTGCACTCTGGGTAACGTATACTCATACGGCAATAAAAGTCTATAAACCAGCAGTTGACTTCTGACTTCAAACGACCATCACCAACACTGTATGTCATATTCGACTACTTCCACAGTACTCACCTCACCTTTCATCTACCTTTACTACCTTCGTATTTGAATCACACTTCTGTGCCCCCCCTCTCTCGACTCTTTTCAATTTAATGTTCCTTCCCCTCTGTGAGGCCTGAAGTCAACTAAAGGGCTAATGATAACCACCAAAACGTCTGCCAATTGGTATAAATAAATAAACTTTCTAGAATCTCTATATTACATCTAGACTTTTCTAAGAAGAATGATGAGGCTCGAAGTGGAGACATTTATTGATTCTTGTGCTGTGTTGGGCAAACAATGGGATAATATTGTGGAGTAATGTGAAGAAAGAGACAATAAAATGAATATTTCGAACATATTTATTTAATTTTTTTAAAGAAAATGCAATAAAGTTCACTACTCATAAATGTTTTCTCAGCGAAATTTTAAAGATCAAAGTATTAAGTTTCATAGTAGTTTTCTCTCATTAAAACGTAGCTCGATTTAAAAATGTACTAATTTTGAGTATAAAATCCCTAAACTCAGTAGAAAACCACCATTATCATTTCCCTTGAGCAAAAAAACAGTCTTGTGTCCTTGTAGCCCACAACAAGGCATCAGGGTTGGCCATTCCGAGGACTGTAGACGTTTTCAAAAATTCGCCTTTATTATATGCATAATTTCAAACAAAATTTGACAGAACATTAATCCTTCACTTTGATTATCTACCAAATAACCAATCCACTTGGTTTAAATTTGATCCGTAATCATTTAAACGTGGTAATTGGTTTCTTTGAGAAATCGGATTTAATTTTCCGAATAGGAAAGACATGCACTCCTCTAAAAGCACAAGTGATCAAATAAGCAACAAACATTCCCCTATTTATGATATCAAGGCTATAGTAATCGATACAGGATCAAGTGGTTGTCGTGTTGGTTTTGCCAATGAAGACACACCAAAATTTGTTACAAATTTCGAGGAGGAAAGTTCTCCCATTCACTATGGTCACATAGTTGATAATGATAAACTTGTCAAGGAATGGATGAAAGCTTTGAATCACTTGGAATTAGTCTACTCCGAATACCCTTTTCTGATAACTACACCTACGGCTATTTCGAGAAAAGAACTAGAAGGTCTCGTTCAGAATGCTTTTGAAGTATTCAAGGTTCCAGCTATGCTGCCTTTCGATCAGTCAATATTATCCTTATATTCAGCAGGGAAAGTAAGCGGTTTAGTATTGGACTGTGGCCATGAACAAACTTCAAGTGTTCCTATAGTGGAAGGTAAAATTTATCACCCCGGAGTTGTTACGTCGCAATTAGGTGGAGTGGATGTCACCAAATACCTCGGAGAATTGCTCGGACGACAGAGTTTCCTGGGTGACATAAAGGAGACGGCTTGTCGAATTCATATCAATCCCAATAATCGGAATAACTTGCAGAAAATCGAACTTACTCTTTCAAACGGAGAAGTGATTTTATTGGGAAAGGAGAGATTCGAAGGTCCTGAAATCCTCTTCACCCCGCAATTACTACAGCAAAAACCTGCGCCATTGTCTATTCAGGAAACGATCTACCATACAATACGTAAATGTGATGCAGAAATTCGCAAAATGTTATATGAGAATATGGTTCTAACGGGAGGGAGTTCAATGTTCGCTAATTTCGGCCCTCGTTTGATAAAGTGTCTGAAAGTATTGTCACCGTCTCAAACCAAGATTAAAATGGACGACACCCATGTGGGTGGGCGGTACATGGCCTGGGCTGGAGGATGTTTGTTGGCTCACACCCAATCGAATATCCCGTGGATTACAAATCATGATTATTGCGAGCACGGAGCTGCCATAGTCCACAAAATGGGTACATACGAGCCTCAGAATTGAATTAGCATTTTTATTATTTCACAGTAATCTAGGTTTATAAGTAGATTTTATACAATAAGGAGTTTTATAGCTATTTGATTTGTATTAATAGCATTTTAGACCAAATGAATATTTATTGAAATCATTATAAAGTTAATTTACAACCTGATTAAAACTCAAAGTTAAAGATTAACTTATTTAATGCATCATTAAAATTTCTATGATTATTAGAAGATTCAATGAAGAAACCTCAACGACTCGCAGAGAAGGACAAAAAGCCCAAAATACTTGAAAATGGACATTTTTGAATTGCTCTCGATATATTTTTTGCCAACCTGCACTTTATTTAAAGTTTTAAGATTTGAATGGACCGAAACAATATAATGGTATATTTTTTATGAATGGACTTTATCTATGGAGTTAAATGGATGAAATTGAATTGTGCTTCCGACCTATCTATTGTAGGAATATATGAATTGAGAAGGGCCAGAAAAAGACTGCGTAAAAAAACAAAAATTCAAATAATTATAAGCTGGTATTATTTATGGAATTGTCGTATGAAAGATATTAATTGAATTGTGTGGTGCTGTTCATTATACCACAATGAACTATTGTCTGGAAAATCATCAGGCCTTGTCCAGACAATGAAAATTGGAATTGAAGCGAATAGGACCACATTGATGTGGATGGCATATGAATGAACTTAGAGGGTTCTGTGTGCAAACTTTTCTTTGTCAGAAAATCATTAGAAGCACTTGCTCCTCAATGTAGCAGAAAGAGTAGACATTAAACGACCATATTCATTGTCATATTGGATAAGATTTGTACGAAAGGATAGATCAAACATCTTCGAAGCTATTTCTCAGAGTGATGTCAAAAAGAGACCGAAACTGTGGTTGAATTAGTGAACAAGGGGTATTCAGTGGACATCTATAACTTACTATGTGATCGGATACCTCTGATAACCCCAAACCCCCATTCTATGAAAATTAACTCTTGGTGCACATCCCTGTAGTGATTGTATTGTCTATTCATTTGACAGATGATGGACGAAGCCTAGTTTTGTCTCTTTTATCACAAACACTCACAGGATGATCACTATCTCAGTAGCAGAATATCTCTAAGTCAAACTTGAGTAGAGATTAATTCCTTTCGAGAGTAGAATTTCCTTAGACTCATTGAGAGGAAATAAATTAGTTGACAATCGATAATCATATCCCTGGAAAGAGCAGAATAAGACCCAATATATTGTTATTATTATTTTAAATGGCAGGCTATAGGGTATTTATCATTAGCCCTTAAACCTTGACTTCAGCTTCCCCCATGGGTGTGGGGGGGGGGGTACATTTATAGCAGTTAATCAATAGCAGTTCATTAGTTGTCTTCTTGCTTCCCAGTATCTCTGGCTTTTCGTTCTTGTCTTTAGGGCTGGACACCGAATCAGGTGGATCTTCTCCATTTCCTCCTGTAGGTCACATAGAGGGTACGTAGTCTAAACCCAGCAACGGCTTCGATTCTTGGCCAGTCAGCTATGTCGGAGAGTGCCACTATCCACTGTTTCACCTTTGTTCGAGCTTTAAGTTCGTTGCACCTTGAGGTCTGCAATTCTCTCCTGATTAAGGCCTTCATTGTGTGGAAAGACATCGGCCTGTCCATGCATTGCAAAATCGTTGTCCCCTTCTTAGCAAGTGTGTCAGCATGTTCATTGCCTTTAATGCCACACTGACCAGGAATTCATTGTAGGACCACTGTTTTGTTATTTTCTCTCTCAGTAGCTGATAGAGTTTTTTACATTCGTATATCTCAGCTGTTTTGTGTGGCTCTCTGTTTCCAGTAGAGTTTATTGCTGACTGTGAGTCCGATAGAATTACTGCTTTGGTGAATTTCGTATCGTGGTAACATAATTGGCATAGTGCTATCCTAATGGCCTCTATTTCTCCTTCGAAAGCGGATCTATTATGTCTCACTGCTGCGTAGAAAGGAAAGAGTTCAGAATAGACACCTACACCAACGTTTGCTTGGTTTTCTATGCAAGACCCATTAGTGAAGACTTTGAGTCAGAGAGCCATTATATTGCTTGCTAGAAAACGTCCCCCAGTGTTCCGTCTGCCCCAATATCTAAGGGAAATGGCATATTGAAAAAAAGATGTACTCACTTAGGCGAATCTCTCTCAACAGGAATACATACCTATACCTATGCATATGGTAATTTAAAGTGTCGGAGAAATAGGAAAGTGGCCAAGACTGTCACCAGCAAGAAAAAATCGATCTTCTGAAATCAATAATATATACAGTTTCCGTTGAAAGGATAACTTCCGACGACAATGATTAAAAGTGGATTGGAAACGAGACGAGGAGCAGAGTGAAGAAAGAAGATGGAGCACGCGAGTTCCGTGTGCGAGATAAAACTCTGACTTCTGAGTTGACTTCTGAGTTCAAGCTATCATGATCCCACTGTAT